TAATATCAGGTTTATCGTCAACAGCCTTTAGAATAACAGTACGAATATTTTTGTAGAAGGGGTCAGAACAAAATAGCAGCATCAGAAATATTTTGAAGTGTCAAGAGTGAGGTCTCCGAATGAAAACTCATCGCCGCGAAGATTGGCTAGGTTGACAATTTCTTCAGTTGATCTTCCAGGAGAAAGTCGAGTCATCAGAATATCATGTCGTCGTCTAAAGATTGACATAGTTGGGTCAAAAGTTTCCTTCAGTAGTACAACCGGTTCAGTATAGGTCTTGCATTCCAGGGTGGCAAGGGATGTGCGACCTCGGAGTTAGGCATATTCTTGTGGGCCCAGTACTTTTAGTAGAATTTGCACGCGGTCGGCATCAGTCAGCCATTCCTCCTCCAGCAGCTTTTGGTTCCTGGAGAACCAGGCTGGAAAAGCATTTTCATTTTCCGGATCATATTTGAAGGAGCCAATCAAGGAGAGTGTATGGCTCAGCGAGAAAGGCCTTGATAAAGTCTGCGTGGGCTGGTTGGCAATCAAGGTTTGAAGGGCTTTCAAGATAGTCAGCAGAGCTTGTTGATCTTTCATCAAGACCAAAATTCCTCGCAGAAACAGAAAGATATGTATCCTACCCGCTGCGCAATTGTTGGGTCCGAGAGTTGAATTGACGACGACGAATACAGGGTAGCTGAAGTGACGCAGAAGGATAAGTTGGTTTATCCACAACACAGTATTAGCCAACCAACCACAAACCAACAAAAGCGGGGTATTTATACAGGGATTAGAGCACAACGAATATTCCAGAATAAAAAACACTGAACGACGCGACCCAATCTATATGCAGTCACAAAGAACGCTGCAGAAAATTCTGCACAACAACCTATAATAGAGATCTCCCCAGAACTTCTGAAGATCATGATCAAAGACCATCGACGTCTCAACAATAAACTTCAGCAAATCCCGTCGAACTTATTTACCCTCAGCTTCACCTAAGCATAAACTGTAGCCAAAATACAGTTTCTTTCCGACCATGTATTTTTGGAACTTCCTGTTGCTATTAATAAATAAACTCAATTGTTTTTGTAAATTATAGGCAACAATGGGTACATGTACGCTATGACAATAACATTAAAAAAGCGGTGGAGGCTGTGGCCTCAGTTTTGCTGTGAACGACCGAGGAGCAGCCTCGGACGGCAGAAAAATATTATTGTGATTTGTTGATGAAGGTTTCGTCTGCAGCAAATAATCCCGGAGTTGCTATGGAAGGCGCCGCTCGGTTGTTGGTGAAAGGCGCAAGGTTCGGTGCTAGTAGAAGCGCAAAATCCGATGTTGGCGGACGGCGCCCTGGCCGGTTCGAAACAAATGTTAACACTAAAAATCTGCTGGAAAAATCGGCTACTGAACCCATCTGGAGCTCCGCCTCGCTCCAGCCGGGTCCAGCCTGCAAAAAAAAGCTGTCAACGTCTCGCGCATGACGCAACGGAGGATGCCATGTATTTCCGCACGTGAGTAAACTGATCCAGAGCAGCGGGAGTGTAGGCACTCAGAACAGAAGATGCTATTAGGGGTAATAAGAGCATCAGATTGGGCGTTATGAAAACAAAGGGTGAAATGATAGCTGAAGGCGTCATAAATTACGTGATGCGGGAGCTCTGTGAAAAGGGTGGAAAAGTCTGCTGTGTGTAAGTGATTAACAGGTCCGCACTCGTTGATGAAGGGTAGTACCTCGCTGGAATTACATACACTATGAAAGAGGCACTTACGTAATCTGTGCTGTGCAGCAGCCGCGCAGTTACGAGGGTACTGGCGAAAGAATTGAAGAATGCGATACAAACATATTGTGAAGTATGCTGTTCTCATTTTAAAATTACATAATGTTTTTTTCTCTTTTCTCCTTTTTAGCCTATGAGTCAGGAATGCCATTTGCATTCCTGTGTGTTTATAATTTTCTCCGTTATCGTCCTTCCTTTTTTTTACACCTATAAAAACCTTATTATATATTCGAACTCTTTATCCCGTTTTGGTCGTATTTTGGAATGGACTTGCATCTCCGGAGGTTCCACTTTTGTTACTCTTCCTTTTAATCCTTTTTTAACTCCCTCAAAAACCCTCATTTTCATTTTCCTTTTTCACATTTTCCCTTACCCTAATTACTATTTCTACATTTTTCAACCCCTCCACAAAACTATCACATTCTCTGTTGGGGCGATTCTTATACCCTTTATAAATCCCCCTACCATTCTTCAGGGTCTCAGTTTGGCTCCTTCAGCTTTTTCGCCGACTTCAGTTTCCTCGATCGACATCATCCCCGGCTCTTCAAGGTTTTTGGGACTCGATTTCGTCTGGTACACTTCTGGGCCTCATCGACCATTCTCTGCTATAACAGCTCTTGCTTGGCAAGCCCACAGACTCGATAGATTCCAAGCGCCACACTTCGTGTTGTTTATTTGCTGTTTGCACGATTCATTATCAGTTATAAACTTGATTTTGCTTCTCTACAGTGCGCGTGCGCCACATCTAATTAGTCCACTAATTTGCCTCTGAACTTCAACTCTGCACTGAAATGGGAGTTATTAGGTTTTGCAACAACCGGCTTCTCAGTTGTAGTAATTATATCATGTTTCACGGTCCAGCAAGATCCTAAATCAAATTTGCTGCGACTGAAAATATCAAAATACTCATCAATGACAGTTTGCA